AAAAAAAAAAAAAAAAAAAAAAAAAAAAAAAAAAAAAAAAAAAAAAAAAAAAAAAAAAAAAATGAAAAAAAAAAAAAAAAAAAAAAAAAAAAAAAAAAAAAAAAAAAAAAAAAAAAAAGAAAGGATAATATTTTACCTTGTGGTCATCACTATAATCAGTTTTTACTAAGCTATCTAACGTTGTTTGTAAAGAATTTTTATCTTCAGAATAAGCAGTCACCAATATTATAGTGTAAAGAGGATCACCGAGCATTTCTCCAGAGTCGGATACTTCAATCAGCTTCTTGGAAAAAGTAAAAGTGAAGAGAATTGCTATGATAATTCGTAAAATTGTGAGAATAACGATAGAACCGATCGTAAATATTGATATGGAAGTGTTTATAAAACACCCGGTAGTTTGAGTGAAGACAACACCAGCTTGATATCGCGATAAGATACACGAGATGGCATTTTGAAATTTGTTGTTATACGAAACAAGCCAAGAAATGTCCTTACTACGAGGTTTACCATTAGTATAATTGGTATATAAGACCTCGAAAAGTTTATTATTTACAAAAGATAGTGTAGAATCTGGAACAATTCCATCGTTGTAATTTGTTATGTCGTCGAAATATGTAGACATGTTTAAGACTGTTTCAAACATGAAGAATTATAAATTAGGTACCAAGTTTACACATATACTTTATATTATCAATGTAATCATACCTGTATTGCCATATACAAGTAATTCTGAATTCCAATTATTAAGTTGATTTGGTTTTAAATCATCCCACGTAAAAGACAAAGAAGCGATAGGTTTCACATTCAACTTTTTTATGGGAATGCATGTTCCTGTTGGAGTTTGAAGTGAATCTTCGCCAAAAGGGTTTTTGACCTTACAACTAAACGTAACATTTTTACGTAGTATATCTAACTGTTCACAATTTCCATCAGTATTGTCGAAAATTGCGCTGAGGTCGGCGTTTTTATAGTCATTTGTAAGATTCATTTTCAAGATTTTAAAAAAATTACGTAATTTGTCGAAATCATAAATGTTGCCATAAATTATAGGATTATTTATAAAAGTCTTCACTAACGCGTAGTCTGGTGGAAGTTGTTGCGAAAAAGGAACTCTGGTTGAATCATCATCATTAGGACAAATCAAATCGCGAAGGCCAATAGCAAAAAATCCAAGAATACAAGAGACGAAAGCAATTATTATACAAAGGGTGACCTATATATATATTTTTTTCTGTCAATTTTATAATTAAAAAACTTTTTTTAACATAAAACAAGATTGGCATAAAAGATTAATCATGCCTTTTCTCTCCAAGCCTGACGAACCATCGGTTTTTTCATCCCACCCAATTTATTTAATAAACAAGATGGTGCCCAACAAGTCATAATCCTAGCAAATAATGCCCAATAATGAAAAGGTGTGTTATTTATTTCACCATTTTTAAAAAAATTGTATATTTTTTTAAAAAATGAAACATTTTCATTTTTTATTCTTCTATAGAACCACTCAGGATCTTCGTCATGGATCATAGGACGACTAGGCCGTCGTCTTTCTGGACGGACAAGAGGTTGACTAGCTCGTCGTCCTCCTGGATAAATAAGGGGTTGACTAGGTCGTCTCCCTTGGACAAAAGGCTGACTAGGTCGTCTCTCTTGGACAAAAGGTTGACTAGGTCGTCTCTCTTGGACAAAAGGTTGACTAGGTCGTCTTTCTTGGACAAAAGGTTGACTAGGTCGTCTCTCTTGGACAAAAGGTTGACTAGGTCGTCTCTCTTGGACAAAAGGTAGACTAGGTCGTCTCCCTTGGACAAAAGGTTGACTAGGTTGTCTCTCTTGGACAAAAGGTAGACTAGGTCGCCTCCTTTGGACAAAAGGTTGACTAGGTCGTCGCTCTTGAACAAGGGGTTGGGAGGAATCAGAAGAGACCAGGGAGGAATCATTGATGGCATTATAATGTAAATGATTTTGTTGAGTAGTTTCAGCAAAATTACCAGCTTCTGAATTATTGGTATGAGACATAGTCGACTAGGGTGGTTTTGATTTATTTCTCGGAGATTTGAAGAAGGATTTGATCTCAAGACTTTTCCTTGAGCACGAGAAGTTTTACCTTCTTTTAGAAGTATTTATTGTTGCAATATTTAAATGTATAAAATTTAATGATAATCATTCCAGCTCTCCGTTCGCGCCTGTCAATAATGAAATTTCCGGTGCATTCGTGTTTTGAGTTTTTTGAAGGCTACTCTTTTAGAAAATATGACTCGTGAATATATATATATTAGCAGCTGACAAGTTCGAAAAAAATGATTATGGATTCAACTTATATTTGAAGAATTATCTAAGCATTGATCTATTAATGTCAATCTGATATCAAAAAGGAACGAACATCATCGAAAGCATGCTTTTGTCGATAAAATTGTCTGGATTAATTTTGTCTGCTATTTACAAGTATAAATTTGACTTGTCATATTGATTTTTTTTTAGATGGACAATATGCACGAATAACCCTCCGAGGCTTGATTTTGTGAATAAAATTAAATTTGCCAGCCATCTAGTTATCCAATTTTCTTTTCTTTTTTTTTTTTATTCTGCAGAGCTCAATAGGATCTACAAAATTAAAAAGTTCGTTCAAATTGAACAACTAGATGGCTGGTAAATTTAAGTTTTATTCACAAGATCAACGTAACCTCGGAGGGTCATTTTCATAGCAAAGATCCCAATTATGATTTGGAGCGGCCCCATACAGATCATAACGTTCATTTACATACAATCATTTTTTTAGATGTTGTGAGTTCCACAGCAAAAGATGACTTCTGGCCAACCAATCAAAGTTTGAGATTTTATATAGTATATGTCGGGGGATCGGATGATGCTGAAATTCACATGATAAGGATATACAAACTTGTTCTCATAATTGGCCGGGTCAAAATTTTACAAAACTTTAAGTATATTTAATATTCGGATGAGTTTTTTTAAAAATCTATAAAAAAATTTTATATGTTTTTTGTATATAAAATTTTTTGAAAAATAAAATTAAAACTATGACTTTTAAAAATTTTATGTTATGAGAACCAATTTATTAAGCTTGTATGTACGTACATACAAACTAGTTTGTATGGCCTAACATGATGATCTTCCGCATAAATAAATCTGAAGCGCGTTCGTCATTTGCTATTGTCAATTAGAAACCAACCTAAAAAATTTCACGTTAGTGTTAGGGTTTGGGTATGCCTTTTTTTTTTGCTTTACGTATGTTGCACCTGATCCCATTAGATTAAAATCGGGTCACATCATACCCAAACTCTAACACTAACAGCGAAATTTTTTAGGTTGGTGACGCTAAGTTTCTATGAGATTAGTGACGCACCTCGACATGTGTATTCAGGGAGTAGAGCTTGGATCCGGTTATCCGTTGGGTGCAAATTTAATATGAAAACGGATGACCGGATCCAATGAGATCTGTGATCACGTGAATTTTCATCATCATCCGATTTCAATATAGCGATAGGAACGTATACATTTGAGTGCCAAGCAATTTTGATTTTTGCCGGCTCCGCTTTCTGATCCGATTCCTGATAAATAAATTAAGCACAACATAAATTGGATTACATATGATGTGATTATATAGGAGGTAACTATATGGAGGGATGACTGTAGAAGTTTGAGATTTTATATAGTATATGTCGGGGGATCGGATGATGCTGAAATTCACATGATAAGGATATACAAACTTGTTCTCATAATTGGCCGGGTCAAAATTTTACAAAACTTTAAGTATATTTAATATTCGGATGAGTTTCTTTGAGCATGTATATTTCAATGAAAGATTTACCGAGTTAGATTATGAATTATTCTGGAAAATACATTATTTAATGGGTATTACAGCTGATAATTTTGAGCTTATATTAATGGTAATGAAAAAAAAGCAATTGTTTTTACCTACCATGCATCATTATAAATACCATATATTTTTAGGTCGATGCTGATACAAAAGTTGCACCCTCATCATTGGCTTATCTCGTTTCTGCTATGAGAAAAGATCCAACTATTATGGGTTGCTGTGGAGAAACACGTATTGCTAATAAAACGGAAACTTGGGTAACAGCCATACAAGTTTATGAATATTATATTTCTCATCATTTGGGAAAAGCTTTCGAATCAGCTTTTGGGAGCGTAACTTGCTTGCCAGGTTGTTTCTGCATGTACCGACTTAAAGCACCAAAGGATGGTGCATGGGTTCCTCTTTTGTCCAATCCCGATATTGTTGCTGAATATCAAAAGAATATTGTAACCACATTGCATGAAAAAAATCTTTTACTTTTAGGAGAAGATCGATATCTATCAACTCTTATGCTTCGCACTTTTCCGTATCGTAAAACATTATTTATCCCACAGGCTGTTTGTCATACTATTGCACCTAAAACTTTGTCTGTGCTACTTTCTCAACGCCGTCGATGGATCAATTCCACTATTCATAATCTTTTTGAACTCGTACTTGTCCGTGACCTCTGTGGAATTGCATGTCTCTCGATGCAATTTGTAATTATGATGGATATTATTGGAACACTGATGTTGCCAGCTGCCCTATGCTTTACAATTTATTTGATATTTAGTACATTTTTTGATAGCAAGGTACAATACCTTCCGCTCATCCTTTTGGCTTTGATTTTGGGTTTACCTGGAATATTAATTGTCGTAACAACCCGTAAAATAGATTATATTATATGGATGTTGGGTAAATTTCAAATAATTTAGTTGTGAGAATGTATTCTGTTTATTAGAAGAATTGCCGTGATCTTACCGCGCATAAGCATCGCTCATAGATAAGCTCTAATTCACAAAGCTATGTTTACTTGCGGTAGATGATGGTAATACTAATTTATGCATTTTTTGTTATTATATTCACTATTGCAGTTTATTTATTGGCACTTCCTATTTGGAATTTTATCCTTCCCTTATATGCATATTGGAATTTTGATGATTTTTCCTGGGGAGAAACGCGTCAAGTATTTGGTGAGAATGGAAAAGATGAGCATGGAGACATCACAGGAAGATTTGATTCAAGGAAATTAAAAATAATGTCGTGGGAGGAATGGGAGCATGAACGTCATTGTATTGTCAGATCAGTAGAAAAACACGAAACACTCGGACGTTCGGCAAGATATTTATCACAAAGTCTACAAATGCAAAAAGAACCTACAAAAATACAAATTGACTCGGATCATTTTTGATATGTGGTAATGTCAGAGTTTCTCTTGTAATTATTATTTTGTAATAAAACAATGCTTTGTCATGGATTTGCATAAAATTAATCAAAAATTACGTAAATTTATTTTGAACGCCAATAGCAGCGTTGTGAATAAACAATAGACAAGCCAATAGACAAGTCAATAGACTCAATAGACATTCAGTAGTCTAATGGTGTCTAATCAAGCCATCGGACATAATCAATAAACAAAATGGTATTAATTATTATTTAAACAAATATATTTAGATACAGATGCTATTACGAAATATTCGACATTATTGGTTAAAATTTAAGATTCTATCTAGCTGAATAATTTCATTTCTGATTAAAAATTCTGGCTAATTGAGGTTTCAGAATTAAGCTTTAGTTAATATATTTCAGTTAAAATAGATGGTTAAAATAGGTGGTATATTTCAATATTTTTTTGAAACAAGCCATTTTAAATATTTAAAAAGTTTGATCTGAATGCTCTTATTGACTGGAGCTGAGGGAAGCGAAGCGAAAGCCTTCAAGCCATACTCTTCGAATTTTAGAAATGTCCAGCTCCCGGTTCAGGATCCAAAAGATTGAACCTAAATTAGGTTCAATTCTGGATACTGAAACCTTAGTTTAAAATATAGTAGCTGACTTTTAAAATGCATAATAATGGAATAAAAGACTCAATTTTGTTATATATATGTTGTGCCTCAGACTAACGCTTGCCTCAGATCACAGCTGACGCTGACGCACCTCAGATTCAGATCGTCAGGTGAGGTGCGTAACCGGTCGATCGGTCAATAAACACAAAAAAAAAAATTATATGGGCTCAGAAACAGTTTAGTGTGTACAGGCACCGTTAAAAATCTGCCGACGATTATCATACCAGAAAAAGTAAAA